AAGGTCATTGTTGATGGCAATGACCTTGAGGAGTGGCCTAGTATAGCTGGCAGTGATGGTGGGAACAGCGGTAACAACGGAATGCCTGTGAATAGCATCAGTGCCTCTGGCAACCAGTCCTCTCCCACTTCCTCATTCTCTTTGCCCAATGAATGTATGCAGTCGTCCAGCAGTGTCGTGTGGGGGACGACTCCCTCCCAGGGTCATATTGGAGGAGGTACTGCAGTAGCTGCAGCTGGGCCTCTGCTACAACAGCCCTCCTCACTTTCCAAAGCCCCCGCTGTATCCGGGAGCCATGATGCCAGTGGCCCCATTGATGGTAGCAGTGGGATTCCAGGTGCCAACTTCAGTCCAAATGCCAACCCTTCAGCCTGGCCGGCCCTAGTGCAGCAGGATGGCCCCACTGCTGCCGGGGAAGGAGGTCTGACTTGCTTCCATCAACAGGGTTCTGGAGGGTCCACCAACAACTCTGCCTCCTTGGGGCTGGGAGGCGGGGCGGTTGGGGTGCTCGGGGGTCACCCACCAATATCTGTGAATCAGTCAAGCACCCATCAGCACCAACTTCACCAAATGCAATCCAGAGACAGAGAAATAGGAGGGGGGAAGTGGGAAGGTGAATCAGCGGGACCAAAAATTGCAGGGGGGGAAGGGATCGGGGGAGGAATGGACCATGGTGTTGGAGGAGGTGGGATGAGTGTGGGAGACCACAGCCTTGCCTCCTCATGGAGAGGCCAACCTTCTTACCCTGCAGCTAACTCCAAAACGGGTGCCTCAAGGAATGATGGATGGGAGGGTGGAGGAAGTGGAGGATCAGGTGATGCAGAAGGGGATAAAGGGACCTTGGGTTGGGGATATCCTAGTTCCACAAGTGGGGTTAATGCTTGGGGCAGTGCTGGAAGTGGGGGAAATGGTGGTCAAACCTCCGGAGTATCTCAGGGAGGGTGGGGGTTATCAGGAAGTGGAGGAGAGAGAGGAGTTTTTGGAAGTGATTGGGGTCGTAGCTCCCCTGGTATTAGTGGTACTAATCCAGGAAGTGAGGAAATAGGAGCCTGCAGTAGTAATAGCAGCAGTAGTGGAGGCAGCACAGCTGGTATACTTCCTGTCGCTTCCTCCTCTTCAACAGCCACCACTTCAACCAGAGCCTGGGACAATCAGAAAGAAGAGGGTGAGACAGTGGAGTGGGGGGAAGGAGAAGGACAAGGAACTCGAGGAGGATCATCATCTAGTGGAGGAAATTCCAGAAATGGGAATGCGCCTGGCTGCAATCGTCCTCGTCGACCGGCACCTAATGCTGAAGCTGCCTTACAGAGCCTGCTCAATCGGTCTGATCTGGACCCTCGGGTTCTATCCAACACAGGCTGGGGCCAAACGCAGATTCGACAAAACACATCTTGGGATGTTGATGAATATTCTGCACAGAACAAAGGGGGAGCTTCATTGAAAAACTCATCCTCTCTTGGAAGTCATAATCAGTATTCTAGTGGACCTAGAAACCTAAGCACTGACTCTGTTGGTCCGGGGGTCAGTCCCTCCCTGGTTACTTCGACTGGGTCTTCTGGAGAGGGGTGGGAGAGCAGCAGCAACAGTAGCAGTAGTGGAGCCTCGTCTGGGAGAGCCCTACCGCCCACATGCTCCAACATGAGGAATCTAGGCGTCTCACAATCTGGACCAGTGACCACAACCGTACCTGGTATGGGGCCAGGGGTAATACCTGCAGCTAGCCAGCAAGTAAAGCCCTGGGGTGGTGGAGGAGTTGGGATTGGAGACAGCCATGATGCCAAGGGTTGGGGTAACGAGGAATGGAGAAGCAGTAGTAGAGGAGAAAAGGGAGGAGGGTGGAGTGATATTGGCCAGCAAAATCAATCGGTCAGTGGAGGCTGGGGAGGAAGTCAGCAGGAGAAAGGGACAGGGGGGTGGAAAGAAATAGGAAGGAATGGAGATGCAGGCGGTTGGGGATCAGAACCGAAGGCTGCACCAAGTAAGGATTGGGTGGAACAGGAGTCCAAATCAAGTAGCGGTGGAGGGGGGTGGGGGGACGAGAGGAGGAATGGAGGACACTCAGGTGGGGATTCAGGTGTGGGTGGTTGGGGGAACTGGGATGAGAGTGCTCCCCGTAGGACCTGGGGAGCCGGGGGCACAGGGGGAGGGGGCACCGGGGGAGGGGGGGTAGATGCGGTTGGAGGAATGGGGTCCAAATCTCACCAGAGCTGGACTGGAGGAAACAAAATGCACCAGATGCCAAACAGCCAATCGGGCTCTGTCTCAGGCCCACAGGCACAACTGCAACAGCAACAATCACAGCCCCGTAATCAGCTTCCACAGCAAGTGTTGGACCAAGGGGCTATGCAAGGGTGTGGGGGAAGAAAACAGATTTCCCAAGCCCAGACACAGAACCAAAGCTCAGGCTGGACCTCGGGACCCATACCTGGTGTCTCTGGAGGAGGTGGAAGTGGATCTGAACCAAGCGGGTGGGAGGAGCCCTCACCACAGTCCATTAGTAGGAAAAATGAGATAGATGATGGAACATCAGCATGGGGAGACCCAACCCATTACAATTACAAGCCGGTCAACCTGTGGGATAAGAACAGCAGTCCTGCTGGCCAGCAGCCACACGCACCGGTTCAGCTCCAGCAGCAGCAGCAGCAGCAGCAGCAGCAAGTTGCTCCTGTTCAGCAACAACCCAGCAGGCAGGCTGCAGGGCTTGGAAGCAACCGAGACTTTAACTCCGGCCCTGGATCTACGAAAGCCTCCACCATGGGTAAGACACTCGGAGCTGAACTGACTGTGTATTCAGGATTTAGTGTTTATAGAAATTATATAATTCAGTTAGTGGTAGTTCATTTAAGACTGACTGTGCAGTGAAAGTCATTGCTTTGAAGGTTTTGGTGTTGCTCATGGATGTAGCTTTGGCTTAAGAGATGAAGATGTCAAAGCATGTCTCAATTTGCTGTTGATGGCAAAGAAGGTGGAAAAGGAGGCTTTCAGTGTTAAAATCTGTTTGTGTACTCTAGTGAAACTGGCTTGAGTGCCACTGTATTTGTAGACTGGTTGCTTTGATTTTTGGTGTGGAACATCACATCAAGCAATGAATTTAAAGGATAAAAACAATGAAACGCCACTTCCATAAGCCCTTTTAATCCTTGTTACTACATGGGTTACATCAGATTACAGTGAAGTTATCAAGTAGCTCCATCTTTGTCATGTTCCCACCTCAACCTTGCTCATGTGTGTCTGTAGATCCATCGGGCTGGGGGAGCACTTCTGCAGCTAGCCCTACTGTTGATAACGGTACAGCGGCTTGGGGAAAACCAACTGACACCCCAACGGGCTGGGGAGACCCTGATGACGCTGGAGGGAAGACGACATGCTGGGGAAACCCTTCTTCAAATACGATCAGATCTGGTTAGAAAACAGCTCAAAACTGATTAGAGTATAATAAAACGGCTTAAAGTAAATCTGTATCATAGGATAAATTACTTATTTAATTTTCACTGCATTTTGTTGAGTTATACAAGTCTGTATTTTAGATACTGGCAGCCTTGAACAATTGACTTCACTTTGTCAATTGGCCATTATTAATGCTCCTCTTTTTCTTTCTTGCCACAGGTTCAAAGTCTATGCAAGACGGCTGGGGGGACAAAGACAGTTCAGTGGCAGCCTCAAGGCACTCAAGCTGGGAAGATGAAGAGGAAGGAGGTGGCATGTGGAACAGCACCAGCTCCCAGGGAAGTGGATCGTCTTGGGGACAGGGAAGCAACGGAGGCTGGGGACAAAGCCACTCTGGAAAGAAAACCAGCAACAAGGTAAGCCACTGGTGGAAAAAATAAAGAGAGAATCAGAATCAGGTTTATTGCCAAGTAGGTTTTTAGATTTACAAGGAAATTGCCTTGGTGTTTAGTGCACAACACAACACTTCTATGAGAAGTGAAAAGTAGGAATGACTTTGTTGTAGGTTGAACATTTCCTGTACAATTGTTTTTTTTTTCAAACGGTATTCTTTTTGTGTTGACCCTCAGGGTCCAATGAAATCTGGTGGAGGAGATTCATGGATGAGTCCCATCAACAGACAGTTTTCTAACATGGGCTTACTAGTAAGACTCAACTTTATACCTAACCATTTTCTTTTCCTTTAAAAAAAAAAAACTTTGGGTACTATGACATTGTATATTGCTGATGGTTCTTTTCTCCTGAACAGAATGACGATGCCAGTGGGCCAAACATTGACCTTGCTCCAGGTTCTCTCCAGGAGAAAAAGATGGAGGCAGAAAAAAGAGGCATAGGAATGAATGATTATAATGGAGACATGAGAAAAAGAGGAGGAGGAGGGGGTATGATTTATCGCCCCCCAGGGTCCAAAGAGCCAGCACCAGGAGATTCTGGTCCTTACTATGACAAGGTGAAGCTTTGCCTCCCATTGTATTAAGCTTCGTCTCTCGCGTCTTGTGTCTAGAAAACTCTTTGTCTTTTATCACTATTTATTGGCTCTTGTGATTCTACCCTTTCTTCCTACCTTTTCCACCTGCCCTCTTTCCCTCTTCCCCTACACCCTTTACCACTACGCAAATTGGTGTTCCACTGGCTGTCACTGTGACAGACTTTGCATTTGATCAATCAAGATGGGTGCCTTGGGGAGGAGGGTCCTAGCTCTCTGTACTCACCACCCTCTGTCTACAAGCCCCATACCCTCTTCAACCACTCTATCCCCTTTAGACAAGTAAGAGAAATGCTCCTCTTGTTTCTGTCCTTCTGCATAAGCGCACGGTTATTGCAGTTTTGTCTTAAATGTATCCTAACACCTCCTTCATCCACTGAGATGTCTTGTTGTTGGTCACATACACATTTTCACGTTCCTCTCTGGTTGTGGGTCCTCTTTTGACGTTTTGTTTTCCGTATTTGTATGTAGGGTGGTCACAGTATCTTTAGCAGTTCAGGAGGGATGGCCCAGTCAAGACATCAGCCAAGTATCCCGCAGATGAACCAGTCCCCAGGGATACGAGCGCAAGTGCCTCATCAGTTCCTGTCTCCCCAGGTACTAACCCGTCTGCTTGTGCTGTTTTTGATTCTTGGCACTCATTATTGACACAGGCGGAATTATTAATTTCAGAAAGGACACCTCCACAGAGGCACCATACACTGTCCAAGCTAAAGATATGAAACCCTGTAAAAAGTCTACATTTTTTATGCCATCCAAAGCATGTAGTTTTTACTAAGTGCTAATTGCGTGGTCAGGTTGAGTAAACACGATGGTTTTTGTGGAAGTTAATATGATATTTTTCGCTATAACTCAGAGCATTCTGAGGACTTGACTATTGTATACATATTGCTCACATCATTGCACTTTTAAATTCGCAGCCTTTTCTGAGATTATTTGAGATTATTGATAGGAACTTCACATTCTCAGCAGACATCATGATCTTTGATGTCCTTTGAGATGCATAAAAGTTTCAGTATTCTTCAGACTGCACTTAACTCCTTTTTTTATTTTATAATATAAAGCTATAAAACACTCTTACCAGTATCTAAGAGTGTCACTGTTGTTAAGGATAATTTGAAACGTATGTAGCTCCTGTAGGTTGCTGCATCAGTTTGTTTGTGTGGTTACATGTTGTACGTCTGCCGTTGTCTCCAGGTGCCAGGCTCCGTGCTGAAGCAGATGGCCCCCTCCAGCGGGAGCGTGGGGGGTGTTGGAGGCATGGGGGGGGTTGGAGGGGTGGCAGGAGTCGGAGGAGTCGGAGGAGGTGTTTTTCCTCCACAGCTGTCTCCTCAACATATTGCCATGCTCAGCAGCATCTACCCACCTCACATCCAGTTTCAACTGGTGAGAAGCCTCCACAGGGTCTGCAAGCAGGCTGGAAATGACTCAAGTGTTTGGTCATCTCACATTAAGTTTTGTGAAGAAATATGTAGTTTATTATTTATTAAAGATGTACTCCTGATCAGAAATTTAGTTTTTCTGTTATTCATGTCTGTGTTGACGTCTCACCTGTCCTCTTGTGTCTGTTCTCGGAGGCTTGTCAGCTCCTCCTCCAGCAGCAGCAGCAGACACCGCAGCAGCAGCAGATGCTGCAAAACCAGAGGAAGTTCACTCCGAGCGTCCGGCAGCAGGCCGACCCTCAGCAGGTACCTACACACACAGCAACCCGGGACATTAGAGATTTCGGTTTTATTGTTTTCTCCCCCTCCAAGTTAATGACTCGCGCTGTTGTCGTGCGTCCTCAGCTGGCGAGGATCATGGCGATGATCCAGCAGCAGCAGAGGCAGCCCCACCAGGTCGGAGGTTTAGGTGGCAGCTCCAAACTCTCCCCCTCCCACCATGGTGGAGTGGGTCCCAAACTGCCTGGGGCTGATCCCTTGCCCCACCCAGGCTTGGCTGGTTCAATGGCTGAAATCCACCAGAAATCTCTAGGACCATACTCTGGTAAGTTTCTGGTGTGCCTGTTTTGTTTGCCTTACCAAATTCCAAGTAGCACTGTTTGAGTTATTTATTTTATTAATTTACACATAAATATTCTACTTATTGGATGTTAATTTGTACCAATCTGTTCCTTCTTGACTTCTAAACAGGCTTTAGTTCTGGGGTGAACCTTCCAGGTTTTGACGTGGGTAGCTCCATGATGGGGGGGCCTGGAGCCATAAAGGATGTCGGGGGTCAGCAGTCTCGTTTTAAGTGGGTAATGGAGGGAAACTGTTCTCCCGACACTTCCTCGCCTGAGAACGCATACCACAAAAACGGTGAGTTTGATGAGTTATCTCTGCATTTGCTGCCGGTGTGTTCAACAAAACGCAGAATGTAACGATGCAGAAGCAGATGGTGTTTATGGGATTAGATGTGAAGTCGCATGTTAAGGTGATGGGTAAGCCATCTGGTATTAAGTGATGTAACACTTTGGCCACCTCTCAGGTCCTATTACCCCCATAAAAATGCCAGGGAGCTCACCTTACTCCCAGTACGACATGATGGTTGGAGACGGGCTGAGTGAGAACTGGCATCGCACCCCCGGCAACAAGATGGGCACCAAGCCCCCCAACACGCCAAGCTGGCCTCCTGGTTAGTAACAATATGTGGTTAAAGTTATGACTCCAGCTGGGAAAGTCAGTCAAAAGAGAAGAAAGAATATCTACATTTCTCATTTAGTAGCTCAAGGAAGTTTGTCTGAAAAACAAGACTCAGGGTTGTCGAGTTTTCATGTGTTTTGTGGTTCACGTCTATTCCATTTATGCTCTTGATAGCTAGAACACACTCACATCTGTTTGTATTTCCGCTGTAGAGTTCCAGCCGGGTGTCCCATGGAAGGGAATTGACCGCGTTGATCCTGAGACCGACCCCTACATGACCCCCGGGAGCATGATGCTGAGCGCAGTGTCCCCCGGTCTCAACGACTCAGAGCACCAGTTGCTGCAGGACAATACTGGTGCGACTGCAGTTTCTTTCTTTTGCCAGTTTACATTGCCCCCAAAAAAGAGACTTTTCTCTTCTACTTTGGGTTTGATTTTGTTTGGCATTGATTTGCTTTGTAAATCAATCATTTAATTCTAGAGCTCAAAGACATTTGTCAAGCTTAACATAATTTAGCCATCAAACCAAAATAGGTTTTTGGGATCTTTGTTTTTTGTCTCGTTTTAATCTGTGCTTCGTCCTTTTGTTCGCAGATTCCACCCCTCCCCTGAACACCTTGCTGCCTTCACATAATGCCTGGCCTTACAGTGCCTCAGACAGCCCCCTCAACCATGCACACAACTCAGGTGACTTAAACATAAGGGGACACGCCGTCCTCCTCTCAGGCTTGCTTCTGTTTGTTTCAGTCTGTGTCATTGTGTTCACTTTGGAATTGTATTTGTGTGTCGCGTTTTTTTGTGCTTGGGGAAAATGTGAGACGTGAATAATTAGATTGATATTGATGTAAAATGTCAGCAAGTCGAAGCCCTCAGACTCAACGGTATCCACGTTCTTCTTTGCCGGACAGCAAAGTACACAGACTACAAGACCAGCTGGCCTCCAGAGCCCATTGGACACAAGTCCTGGAAACCCAGCCCTGGCAGCAGCCAGGCCCAGCTTTCCCGCCCACCTCCAGGCCTCATCAGCCAAAAGCGGCCATCGCCGTCCCCTTGGTCAGGGGGAGCACCTCGATTCGCTGGCCGCGGCTGGGGGAGTAGCTCGAGCACTTCTGGTAAGGCTTTTATTCTTCCTATTTGTTATTGAAACGTTCAGGAAGCTCAAATGGACCACAGAGGTGAAGGATTTTGGCTATAATGATCAGATTTTGAACTTTTTTTCTGAGTGGGTGAAATGGAAAGAAAAGGCATTTCCGAAGCTTTGAGCTAAACTGGAATTGTGTTGTGTTAACAGGAAACCTGACAAAAAATCCTTTGTTTTCTTTATCCGGGCAGGCTCAGCCTGGAGTGATGGCAGCTCGCGGGATAGCTGCTGGTTGGTGCTCAGCAACCTCACACCGCAGGTACACAAAGACACACACTTAACACAACAAGCGTCCGAAAGGAAAGGTTCGGAAGTTTGATTTTCATTATTTTCTGTTCGTATTCGTGCAGATCGACGGCTCCACTCTGAGAACTATCTGCATGCAGCATGGTCCCTTGCTGACCTTTCACCTCGGCCTGACACAGGGCACTGCTCTGATTCGCTACGGCTCCAAACAGGAGGCAGCAAAGGCCCAGAGCGCTCTGCACATGTGAGGCCTTCTTCTATTGCCACTCTTTATGCGCTGCGTTATTGTGCATCTGGAGGCAGCTGTACTCAAAGCCATTCAATTTTGAAGTTCCTAGTTAGGCCAGTTGTATGTTTGAAGATGTGAAAACGGCCATCTTTAAAAGGCAAAAGCGATTGAGAAATGACAGAAATGTCCTTTTTTTTTGTCCCAGGTGTGTTCTGGGGAACACGACCATCTTGGCAGAGTTTATGAGTGAGGAGGACGTGGCTCGCTATATTGCACATTCCCAGGCCGGGGGAGCGGGGAGTGGAGGGACGGCAGCCGGCTCTGCGGGCGCGGGGCCCGCGGGGACCCCCGCCGTGGGCGCCGGCAGTAACGGAGGGAGCTGCGAGAGGGGAGGAGGCGGAGGCAGCGGCGTGGGCGTGGTCGAGGGGGCCCCCGCAGCCGGAGGAGCGGGAGGCGGCGGGGCCGCGTCCTCCAGCTCAGGGTGGCAGAGTCTGGACAGCACAGGCAGCTCATCGGACCAGGCCGCCGCCCAAGGGCCCGGGCTGGGCATCTTCGCCCAGTGGAGCAGCAACGGATCGGCGGTGGGCGGGGCCGGAGGGGTGGAGGCCGGACGGCAGGGCCTGTGGGGGGGGGATGGGCGGCATGGGCGGGATGAGCGGAGCTGGGTATCCCAGCAGCAGCCTCTGGGGCTCTCCAGCACTTGAGGATCGTCACCAGATGGGCAGCCCCGCCTCCCTGCTGCCAGGGGACCTGCTGGGTGGGGGGGCCGACTCCATCTGAGGGACTGACCAACACAGATTTTACACCCCAGTTATAATACAACATGTCACATTCTGCGTTTATTTACAAGTGGAGGTGACGTGGAATAAAGCTACACTGACCATCCAACACAGAGACACTCACTACACACCACACACACACACACTGCACGCACACATCACTGTGACACACACACGCACACACACACATTAACCCACTCAACTTTAAATGAAGACAACAGTAAAACTTGAACCTGGCGGGAAAAAGGTGAAACCCACGAAAGTTTTTAGGACTTGACTGGATAGCTCTTTGTCTTTTTACTCCAGATCTCACCATTGGCATCCAGAGACCCAATCACTCAGGCATGCACTGTAGACAGGCTCAGCCAGAGTCTTACACGTCAACAAGTTTAGCTCTTGCTGTTTTTAGTGTGCCACTTTCTTCTGTTCTTTTTTTTTTTTCTTCCTTTTTTTTTTCTTTTCTCCTTTCTTTTTGTATTACTATTTAATGGTCAAATCTCAAAATTCAGACTTGCAGACTGAGCCCTTGTAGACCTGGCTGGCGTGTTTCCGCGTTCCAGATTTAATCGGGGAGGCTTGAGAGTGAAAACGGATTTGGAGGAAAGAATCGGGAGTTTGTCGGAAATTTGGGACGGCGCCACACTACTGAGTCCAGTGGACGATCAGCAGCATTTGAGATGTGGAAATGGAGTGCTTTTGTGTTTTGTTTTTTTAATTAGTAGGTACTCAAAAAAATCTACCTTGGTAGAAACATGCCATTACAATGGAACCCAGGGTGGAGAAGAAAAAAAAAATCCTTACGAAAAAAAAAAAAACACCATTAGCCAAACTTGCACTATATGCCTCTGGGTTTGTTGTTGACTCATCCTCCACAAATCCTTCCATTTTTGAAGCAGAGCTACAACACAACTAAAGACCTTACAGGACGATTAAATGTTACAACAGCAGTGGCCTTGGCTGAAGCCCAGTGGCCGCCCACCTGCCATGTCAGCAGCACCACCCCTTCCCATCAGTTACTTACTGCTCTTATATTTGACAAGCAGACTTGTACCTTCCTATCCGTGTACATTGGTTATCATACTTTCTGTTTTAAAAGAAACAAAATACGTGTGAAACTATGTTTAGAAGAAAAAAAAAAATACCGATATCTTTTTATTTTCCCCTTTAAACACTGACCTCGCTATTGTATTTTTTTTTTTATTACTGAGGAAATCAAGTTGGTTATATATTGTCATGATGTAATTATGACTCGGATCACTTATTTACTCGCTGTAAAAGGTGCCCTCCTGCCTGCCTGTGTGTGCATGAAAGGAGCGTGGACAGTCGGGGGCTGAATGGAGGAGGTTGTTTTGAAGATGACAGTGATGTCCGGAGCGTCTGTGCTATTTGCTACCATGTTGAATGTTTGTTTTCTCTGAGGTTTTTTCTCCCCCCCCCTCCCTCCTCTTGTCCAAGAGAGATTCATGACAAATGCTCGTGTGTTTGCATCTATTGAGTGTGTGCGCGTGCGTGTGTGTGTGCTCGCTTTTGAACGCGTATCGGCTCCAGTCAGGGAAGTGAATTGATATTAATCTGACAGCTTGTGTTTGACATTAAAGGGGTGAATTTGTGTGCTGGCTGTCTGGATATCCTTAATAGCTGAAAAGTTCAAAAACATTGGCACTATTGTAACTGTCTCATATGTTGTTGTTTTTTTTGTTTTGTTTTTTAAGCAGCATTTGTTCCTGTTTTGCCTTTTTTTTTCTTTTCTCTCAAATGCAATAAAGAGTAAAGTTTTGCTTTTAAGACAAAGCAACCAACTGAAGGCATTTCTGTAAAGATGCCGTGTCCTACCATACCAAGCTGAGCTGGAACAGTGTTTTACAGACACGTTAAAGACATTACCTGTTAAGTTTTACCGCGTTTCTTTATCAGATTTTTTTTTTCTCATGTTTGTTTTTATGTATCAATTTAAATTAAGTCAGTCTTTATTATCACTCCTGTTCAGGATGTTTCTTTGTTTATTTTAGATGTTACAAAAACAAAAAAGGAGAAGTTAATTTAAAGCAGAAAAGAACAAGATAATAAAGATTGAATTGACTCCCGGTGTGTGGCTCATTTGTAGTGGAGTGGCTTTGACATCCATCGCCGTTTGATTTTCCGCTTTCATTTTTGTTTCTTTTAAACTGATGATTTAAAGGGGAACCATTTCTCATAGTGGAGAACTGCTCATTTTCAGACTAAGGAGATCATGAACGAACTTAAAAATTCCAGTTCTACAAACACATTCATTTTTAATTAATTCAGGTATTATTTTATATTTTGTCCATTCTTTAGATAGTTTTACAAAGGAAGCTTTTAGTAATGTTTTTGGTGATGGGTTAGTCATTCACTGTAAAACATAAAGTGGGGTATGAATAAATTTGAATCTTTCTTTTATTTTTTGATCACTCTTCATAATGAGAACTAGAACAGGCATAGTCTCCTCCCATTATTTAGATGAGCTTTTAGTGCCTGATGCCTCATGTGGAAAAATGATTGCCATTAAACGTTTGACCAGTTCTTTGGGGGATTTTTTTTTCCCATTTGTGTACTAAAAAGCTTAAACTTTGGGATGATTGCTTCCCTTTTCCACCATATTTCTACCAAAACTAACTTTGATTTACAACTTTAGGAATTGCAGTATATCACATTTCTACTGTCCCATCATTAATAAAAAGCCGACATGGTTTGATTCATTAGGCCCACATAATGACACAACCACCACATGTGAGGTCAGTTCGGTCTTTACAATCAAATATAATTCTAGAGATCCTTCTTTTCGACACAAGAATACCAGGCTAAAAGTTTTTCCTATACTTCAGTCTCCTTGGATTTTGCATCCACATGCACATTTCCGCAATTTGATCATTTTTTTTATTTTTTACATTTTCGAAACTGATCGGGGATTTAGAGTACGTATGCAGGAAGTTGAAATGAAAGCCGAAAGAGCTTCATTCATGCCTTCCTGTGTCGAGAGCAGCAGCAGCGAGGCGGCTTTAAGACAATCCGGGCATCTCCGCAAGTCTGCGGATGACATCATTGATACTGTCAATGGTGTGAACTGACAGAGGACTGGGTGTGAGGGAGAGACGGAGAGGAGCAGCCGCGCAGGGCAGAGGAAAGGACCTCCACCTCTGGCAAAAAAACAAACAAACAAAAAAAAAAAAACATTGATCATAATAATAATTCTTATCATTAGAATTACAGGCACGCCAAAGTCTTTGACACTGGGAATTTTCCAGAGCTGCAACGCACGGCGGGTCTGTTGTGCTTTTTTTTCCTCCTTCTTTTTTTAAGACTATTTTCTTGTTCTTCTTAGCTGTTTTTTTTTCTCCTTTTTTTGCCTTTTCCCGGAGGGGGTTTCCGATCTCTGAGGTTATGAATCGTCCGGATCCGCACCGGCACTTCGCTGTCCAGGGTCCTGAGTGAGACAAGAGGAGGTAGGGGGGTGTGGTTGGGGGGATGAGGGTACGTGTGTGTGTATATATGTGTGTGTGTGTGTGTTTGTGTGCGTGTGGCTGGGTGTATGCTGGCCACAAAGGGTGTCTGGTGGCGTGCGCGTGTGTCTGAGGGTACGGTGGTGGGTCGACGTGTTGGCGAATCATCCGGAGGTCCTGCATGCTGGGTGCGGCTGTGGGACTCATCTCCTTTGGTCTTTTTTTCAAATTATTATCATGATTATTATTAGAATCATCATCATTACGCATTCAGCACCATCCTCAGTTTCACTTTTGCGCAATTTAGGGCAAACGCATTAAGTATTCTCTTTGAAAATGTCATTTGCTGGGCCCGTTTTTCTTTCTTCTTTTCAGGGAGGGGGGGTTTGTTGGCAGTAGCTCTTTGCATTTTAGTGGGTCTCAGTTTTGTAACACTGACAGCGGAGCAGCTGGGAGGGAAGGGGCTGGATGGAGAGCCGGTGTGGAGGGGCTCAGTAACGCGCAGGATTCGTGTTCCTTCACGTGACTGTGAACCGGGTCTGCCGTGAGACCTAAACAAAACCAAGGACAACAGATGTATATGAAAAATAACACAAAAAAATCCAGATTCAGCTCTGTTTTAAGTCTGGCTGCCATGGCTGTGTAGACAGATTTTGAATTTTGTCAAGGCACTCCAGTCGGTTTTATGCAGATAAATTGTACACAAGACCCGACTCTTTTGAAGTGCTGTTGGAAGAGTGTGTGAGATGCTGATCTAGAATCCCCCCCCCCCCCCCCCGGCCGCCCTGAGTTACACAACTACACCCTGTCTTCTTTGCCATCGACCTTTTCCCCCCACTCCAAACCCTAAACCTAGCTTTGTGTGTTATCATGTCCTCTGAAAGAGGGGGCCTGCTTTCAGTGATGCTTGCTTTGTGGGTCACATTTCGACTTTCTTCCTCCCTTGTCCCAGTGATCTAACTCAGGGCTGCAATACGTCACTGTTCAGTTTCGCTTATTTACACTTTCTGTTTGCTCTCCCCCCCTCTCTCCCATCCTTTTTTTTTCTCTTCCGAGCTTCTAGTTGTATCCTCTCTCATGACACAGCAGCCCCCGGGCTCGGCTTCGTGTATAAAGTCTGCAGCTTTGCACCACGGTGTCCTTTTTCCCTCTATCGATCACTGGTGATTGATGGCAGCTTTGTTGCACGTTTGTGTGTTTTAACCCCTCAGCGAGTCGAAACGCTCTGGAGCCATGGAGCTGCGCGTGGGGAACAAATACCGCCTCGGGAGGAAGATAGGGAGCGGATCCTTTGGAGATATCTATCTCGGTGAGAATCTGAGCTTTTTTTTTGTTGTTATCAGTTTCCTTGAACGGCGGCCTTCTAGGACACTTTCGGGCTTTAGTGGGCCGCCACAACCAGGCCCCTGTGCTCATTCTCGCATCTTTCTCATCAGGTTCAAACATTGCTACCGGAGAGGAAGTAGCCATCAAGCTGGAATGTGTGAAGACCAAGCACCCACAGCTCCATATCGAGAGCAAATTCTACAAAATGATGCAGGGCGGAGGTAAGACGAGGCCTTTACACAGAGGCAGTACACAGGAAGCAGTGAAAAGGTTTGGGGATACCAAGAGATTTTCGATGACAAAGCTCTTTTAGAGGCATCAGAGACATTTAAGGGCATCTAAGGCCTGTTCAGGGTCGTTCAGGGACACCGAAAAATGTGTTTATTGGGAATTTATGGACATTTACAAGATTTTATGGTTTCCCTGAGAGATTTAGTGGTTATAAGGATGGAATGATGGATGTAAAATGGACAGGACTAAACATAATTATTTTACAAGGGGGCATTTTTATACATAACCAATATTGCTAAACTATAAAGACAACATAACGTGATAGTGTGTCTACTGTGTGTGTTGTATATGGAATATGCAATAACATGTAGAAGTAATAAAGCCTTTAGAGGTGGTGCGAGGCACCCTTTATTTCTTCATATTCTACTTTCTCCAAGCTGCCAGCCTTTCTTTAAACCTCTTTAAGCTATTTTGAGCTATAGTTTTCTAGGATTTCTGAAGGTCTCACAAGGTTTTCCTTTGCACACTGCCACCTTGTGTACTTTTTTTTTTTTTAGATCTTTTCTGTTATTTTAGCATTGTTCAATGGACTTGTTTTTAAGCCACCAAAGCTGTGACCTGTGAATCATTTGAGCACTAATAACACGCTTTCCCTTCAGAATGAATCATCCCCATGTAATACATGAAATGTCACGACTGAAAACTAGAGTTTTCTAGAAATGGTATATTTTGGCAGTTGCGTTTCGCATGACAAATACATTCATTGAACTACCCTTTAAAAACAAGCCAACAATAATACAGTTCGAAAGACTTGAAATCAGACTTTTCAACTAAGATGCTTCAGTCAGAGCAGTTAGCAGCACAGCCTGGTGTGCGGCATGTTTTTTTTACATTTGAGGGAAAACTGGACAATTGGAGGACAAAAGAAGAAGAGAGAGAACAGGTCTGAACCAAATCTATCTGAAAACGAGTGTCCAGAAGAAAGAGGGGGAGAAAAACTGACAGAGAACCAAAGAGATTAATCTGGGCCTTCAGTTGATATATGTATTTCTTATCAATCCCTGATCAGAAATGGTCCCTATTGAAGGGTGGCTGACCAAGGGAGAAAAAGGCTGACCAATGCCAAATGACACAAAAAGTGGACCCATAATAAGAGTCCAAAGGCCTCATGGAGGCATGAATGCTATCGAAACATCACTGAAGACATCTCAAAGAAATGAATGAAAATTGTTCAAGAGTATTCAGAACAATGTATATAATATAATATAATATAATATAATATAATATAATATAATATAAT